GACAATCCAAGAAGATGGAAAATCGGGCCGGGGACAGCCGGCCACTATGGGGCTAGCCATCCCCCTGCTTGAGATATTCCCTCCCCGCCCCAGGCCAAGTGGCAGAGCCAGCTCTTCAAGGCCCTTCGGAAGGCCAGGAGTGAGGGGGCCAATCGCACCTCCGGGGGCAGAATGTTCCAGAGAGCAGGGGCTACCGCAGAGAAGGCCGCCTTCTGGACCCCGCCAGACGGAGTTCTTTCACTGAGGGGGTCCGAAGCATGCCCTCTTGGTTTCACTAGGGAACTTGTGCTTACTTAGTCAATTAGACTATGTGTGCATGTGCCTTCGAGTCAGTGTTGACTCCTGGTGACTGACTGGACTAGTCCCTGCAAGTTTTCTTGGCAACATTTTCAGAAGCAGTTTGCCCTTGCCTGCTTCCCAGGATGGAAAGGTGCTGACTGGCCCAAGGTCACCCAGCTAGTTTTCATATCTACTCAGAATCTCCCTGTTTCTAGTCTGGTGCCCTAACTACTACCCCAAACTGGCTCTCCACTAGACTGGACTGTAGTTAAAGTAATCAAGCCAAAACCAATCTATAGGTATTTGTGTGACTGAACATGTCATGCAGATATGCTCAGTAAGATCGTTGGAAAAACAAGTCCCACTTGGCACAACATACTGTAGAAGTCAGGAAAATGAAAAGAACAGTGAGCTGGCTCACATTCACCTAATGACGGGTTAGTATATATATGCTTTATTGAGGGCTTTTAAAGGATATTTTAATCATGGAAACAGATGGCAATTGTTGTCCTTGCAGCTTTACACCAGACATACTACTCCAGGATGTGGATTGCTGCTAGTAGTGTGAATTGCATTTAAACACACTTTCAAAAGATGTTTATGCAAACTGTGGTCATGAAACTTGCAACTACAAGACTGATGAAACTATATGTTTATATTGCCTTGCTATCTAAATCTAGTTCATGGCTTGTGTGGTAAAGCTGATACTAAACTTATTTTAGGTTTCTAAAATATTGGATGTGTGTGACCTGGTTTAATACACAATCTAAACAGCAACCCCCCCCCCAAATACATTAAGTGGTAAACCAAGGTTTTTTATAACCATGGATTGTTGAATAAGCCTAGTGGCATATAGTCAGTGGCATTCTGGTAAATGTTTAAGAACTGGCTTTGTCATCCATTGTTACCACCACAGGACTAGCCGTGGAACAGCTGATTGGCATGCTAGGTGTTGGGGTTCAGTTCTCTTCTCAAACAGCTCATAAAATTCCCAAAAGTTTTACCGTCTGCTCTCTCAAGCCAGTACAAGCTGGCTTAGACACCCCACTGCATATATTATTAAGCTGTAATGTGGTTTGGTTTTGGCTTTGTGAACCAAAGCATTGTCTTTATTGAGGGTTAAGCCATACTTCTGCTGTGGACAGTCATCCTCTACACCAGGCCTGCGTAACATATGGCCCACACAGCAGCCTTGTGAAGGCTCCCCACATTTTTTGAAAACTCAACCAAGCTGCTACCACCTAGGTTTTTACAGCCACCTCTACCCCAAAAGAGACACTGCTGAGCTGCTCCAACACTTCCAGGCCTCACTGAAACTGCCAGTTCCATTGTTGCCACCATGCCACTAGCTGCTGAATAACTGATTGGTGTGCCAGCAGTTGTGGCTCACCTCTGCTATTTACATTTGGTCCCCGAGAGGCCTCCAGCGCCAGTGGCAAACAGACAGAAGGGCAGTCACTGGGTGCTCTTCGGCCTCTGATTATCTAAAGGCCGAAAGGAGATGCAAGCCACATCAGCTGGATAGATGCTTGAATCTTCTTTCCTTTCTTTCTTTTTTTTTAAATAATTTTATTTTTCAAAATTCAAATTACAAAAAAAAAGAGACAAAACACCTAAATGCACTAAAAAACCCTGCACAATGAAACTAAATCTTGTGTAAACTTAAAGCAGAAATTAATAAAAACCAAAAGAAAGAAAGATTTTAAAAACCCCAGACTAAAAAAAGAAACTTATCAGTACTCAGGTGCCTGACTTAGGGATGCTCTGGGGACCCCACAATGCCACACCAGTCTACCACATCCTTAGTACCTCTCAAACATGCTAAAAAATACACTCCACAGAGACATAACAAAAAAAAAAAAAGACCGTGGCGCCATATTTTAAAAGAAAAACACATCAAAAGGATTGCTCCTACTGATTCATTCATGCATTTTACAGTACAGGTAGTTCTCAGCAAGCTGCAGTCATGTGATTGCGATTTCCGATGTTCCTGTCAGCTTCCCACAAGCAAAGTCAATAGGGAAGCTGGGAGGAAGTTGGAAGTTGCTTCTGCCCACAGCACCCCCACCGCCATGCCCCCCCAGGGCACCCGTGTGCCTGCCTGGGCTCTGGAATGACTGCCTGTGGCACCCCCCTGTGGCACCCATGCATCAACCTGCGCTCCAGAGTGCCTGTCCATGGTACTCCGGATGGCATCCACCGGCATGCTTGTCTGGGACTCCTGTATGGCCTGGGGTTACGACAGCAAGCGGGACTGGGGGATTGCTGTTGCTAAGCTACGTGATCATGTGACATGCTTTATGACCACATTATCTAGTGAAATTCCTATCCCAATTGCTGTTGTAACCTGAGGACTACTTGTAAATTGGTTTAATAAATAAATAAGTCTCCAAAATGTCAGCAGTCATACCCCCGTGTGTAATTCTATAACGGCCAAAAAGGTAAATATTTGATTAAGATTGCTTTAGTCACGCAGCAAGTTTAAATATTGGATTTTCTGAAAATACAGTTTCCTGGATGCATAAACCTGTTATGTAGTCTATACAAAATAATATCAAACCATTTTCTTAAATACTACAAAAGTGACTACGAATTCGTGACAAAAATTAGGTTATGTGATCCAGGGATTCTCACTTCTCACAAGTGTCTTGTGCACAAGTGTATGTGCCCTAGCAAACGTGCTCCATAAAACTCAGCAGCAGCACTGAGGTATGATCACTTCATTGTCAACTGTATTTTTTCTACCTAAATGTGTGGTTATTAATTTTTCTGCATGTTAACTTTTGCATTACATTTTTGTGCTACTGGCTGTGCATCCATGGGCTTAATAAAGGTAAATATTCTTTTTCTTAAATAAATTAAAACCCAACTTTGAGTGATTTTTTTTTTTGGTATCATACACCCATAGGTACCATGAGTGAATACAAGAGGAGGAAAATTGAATAGGAACATCGAGTTTTTAGTGCAGAATGAGCAATTCTTTTTCTCAATTGGAAGACAAAATCGTATGTCTTGTGTGTCATGACACAATAATAATCCCGAAAGAATATAATCTATGACTACATTTTGAGATGAACATAATAGATTGTAATGAGAAAAAAACATTAAAGTTGCTATTTTACTGAAAAATCTCACTAGATAACAGGTTTTCAATAATATAAACACTGAAAATGAGACAGTTACTGAAGTGTGCTTTAAAATTGCAAGGGAAATTGCTGTTGCCAGAAAATGTTTTATGGAAGGCAGTTTTTTAAAGACATGTATGCAGATTGCTGTGTCCAGTTTATGCCCAGAAAAAAAAAATGTTTGACAATTGTTAATCCCAAATGATTATTCAAAGAATAGCTGACTTTTTTTTTTTTTCCAGACGGTGATCAGTTAGCTGAGAAATTAAAGGAATTTCTCTCTTATTTATTGGTTGTTGATGGAAGCGCCGATTTAAAAGACACAGCACAATTACTCATTTTTATAAGAGGAATCAGTGCGCACTTTGAAATTACTGAAGAGCTTGTCAGAATGTGCTTGATAACTGGTTACACAACTGGAAAAGTAATTTGTAATGAAGTCATAAAATGTCTTAAGTATTGAAACATGTTCTGAAGAATTTGACAGCAGTGTGCATTGATGGGGTACCCGCCATGAATTGGAGTGCTTGTTCTTGAGGACCACATTGGATGAGAAATAACCAAACACCGCTGCATTATTTATCTGCAAGTTTTGTGTAATACAGTTTTAATATTTGATCATCTGTCAGTGGTTGCCTCCATTGTTAACTACCACCACAGTAATGGATTAAGACACAGAACATTCCATTTTTTCAATAAGCAGAAGGTGAATGTAATGACTTAATTTATCACATAGAAATAAGATGGTTGAGTCGAGGACACTTTAGCATTTTTTTACTATAAAAAAAGTAACAATTTCTTGCAGATGAACTGAGAAAATTCAAAGAGCTCGGAGATGAAGAATGGAACTATGACCTTTTTTCTTTTGCAGTGTCACAACTCATTTAAATAATCTGAACCTGCAGCTTCAAGGAAAAGATCAACTAATATTTAATATGTGTAATTCAATAAAAGCATTTAAAATGAAATTACATCTTTTCAAGGGAGAACTCAAGAAAGGAGAACTGGGTCACTTTCCTACTTGTGCTCAGCATATTCCTCAATGTAGGCATGCTGAGTGCGGAAAAAAATATGGAGAGCATGTTAACCTTGTAACTGAAGAATTTGACAAAAAGTTTGATGAAAGAGGAGTTTAAATTAAATATGATTGAAAATCCATTTTCTGTAAATCCAGAAGAAATATCACTAGATTTCCAAAGAAATATTTGATGTGTAGTGTTCAAAAACTTACAAATCAAAATTTAAAGAAAGCAGTTTAATTGATCTTTATAAATGTTTAAAGAAGGAAAAATTTAAAAAGCTAATTCAAACTGCTCAGAAAACTATTTGT